CATAGTTAAATTTTACATAACAACAAAATACAAAGGCAATACTCATCACATTCTGTTATTATGCTATACTAAGAGTATTTACATTCACTGCACCTTTTGGGTAGAAGTCTTATATTAACAGTGTGCACACCATGCTAAGTGATGGAACGTTAACTTGAAATTGGACATGGTGGGAGTAGCTCTACTGTGGAAACTGGCAGATGAAACCAGGCTGGTTGTTTCGGTTGGTTGGTTTGTGTGTTGAGAGCCCACTAGTACACGCAACATTCAGTAGCCCACTGTTGAAGGACTGTAGGTCTTGGGCAGTCTATGCCTCTACTTGTCTGTTTCTTGGCCTTTACGAAAATGAGTTAGCTGCCTGAAATTCTATTCCTAGCTCGCAGATTCTTCAATTTGAGGGTGTGAAACAATTCCCTAGAAAATTGTTGAAAACAGATCCCTACCTCCCCTCCCACAGAGACTCACCATTTCCCAGGAAGCTAACAAGCCCACTCCCCCCTCCCCCTGCCCAGGATTCTAAAAGGCTGATGCAGACAGAGCACCATTTGAGAAGTCCTCATTAGACTGAGAGGACCTTGAAAAGGGAAAAACAAAATGTCCTGTTCTTGGCAATAACGCATGAAAGTGAAATGCTTTCATGTCATTATTTATATTTATAAGCTTAAAACAAGTCATTTCCCCAGTGGAGAGGCATGAAAGGTTGGCTGACTGAACCCAATGGATTATTCTTCTGATTTAATGAATGCCCACAACAAGGCAAAAATTGAAGCCAATGAAGCTACAGAGGGGTTTTGACATCTCTTCCGTTTTTCTAACTCTTTCTTGTGCATTCTCTTCTACGCACTACTGTAGCTACTCTTTGGACTGGACGGTTGTTGAGTGCCTCCTACTTCTTTTTTTTATTTTTTTTTTTATTTTTTTTTATTTTTTTGGTTTTTCGAGACAGGGTTTCTCTGTGTAGCTTTGCGCCTTTCCTGGAACTCACTTGGTAGTCCAGGCTGGCCTCGAACTCACAGAGATCCACCTGGCTCTGCCTCCCGAGTGCTGGGATTAAAGGCGTGCGCCACCACCGCCCGGCTACTTCTTTTTTTTAATGCCGAATGCTGTTTATTGAAGGGGGGAAGAGGTATTAAATACAGGCTTACAGCACAATGGGAGAACCCTGGAGGGCAGAAGTTCACTACAGATGTTTTTTTTTTTTTTTTTTTTTTTTTTTTTTTTTTTGGGTTTTTCGAGACAGGGTTTCTCTGTGTAGCTTTGCGCCTTTCCTGGAACTCGCTTTGGAGACCAGTCTGGCCTCGAACTCACAGAGATCCGCCTGGCTCTGCCTCCCGAGTGCTGGGATTAAAGGCGTGCGCCACCACCGCCCGGCTCACTACAGATGTTTTACAATCTTGCATCTAAGCTGTTGATGCCCATTATGCAGGATACACAGACAAGGAACTTCCTTTAAGCATTCAGGAGGGTGGAACCCCTGCCTCCTACTTCTAAGGCCTTAGGATTGATTGGCTTTCAGATCCTTTCCATGGGTGAAGTTCCTCCAGAAAAATCAACAATCATGTGAGACAGTTCTCTTCTTTATCTCTTTCAACTTGACTCCCAGTGCTTTTGAAGGCTCCCCACAGCTTTCCACTCCCCCTGCGGCTGGTCTATGCTCCAGTTGCTGCTGCTTCTGCAGCCTGTCTGCACCCGCTCTGCTCTCCACCTCCAACAGCAGTTGCCTTTTCTGATCTTGCCATACTTAGCGCATCTTCAGGACCAAGTAAGCATGCCCTTTGGCCGCGTCCAAAATTGACCTTGAAGAAGACTATTCTGATTAAGGATTCTGACTTAATCAAGGTTAGGTTCCACTTAAATCTTCTTTGGCCAAGTGGTTTTTTCCCCCCTTGAGACAGCATCTTGCCACACTGTGCAAGCTGGCCTCAAACTTGTGATCTTTCCCTCAGCCTCCTAAGTAGCTGTGATTATGATACTCTTGGCCATCATTTTAACAGTAGAGACTTACTGATGTTCAACACATTTAGGAAAAAGGTTCAGTTCTAGTTTATACTCTTTACGAAATACCTAAGGTTAATTACATGGCTCACTAAAGACTTAATTTGAAATCTCTTTGGGCATCAGAAGATAAGGCCAAATCATTGCTGCTGTTTGGTTCCCATTCTGTTTCGTGCTGATCCTAACGGGGGCAAAGTACCAACATCTGCTCCAGGATTCCTTCTTCCCCTTCTCTAACCAGGGGAAATGCTCTAAGGCATTTTGTCCCAGCAGTTGTAAATTATGCTATTGGTCCTTCTATCCAGGAAATGAATAATATGCACTAAAAGATTCTAAATATTAGCTGGGTGGGGTGGCACAAGCCTTTAATCCCAGCACTCGGGAGGCAGAGGCAGGCAGATCTCTGAGTTCAAAGCCAGCCTGGTCTATAGATTGAGTTCCAAGACATCCAGGGATACACAGAGAAACCCTGTCTCAAAAAACAAACAAACAAACAAACCAAACCAAAATCAAAAGAATTCTAACTGTCACCAGTTACTAGAACAAGGACTTCCAACCAGGGGTCTCACCTCATATGCAGGAGCTTCTTATAATCTAGGATAACTAACTTCCCTTAAGGGGTTGTGTTTTACATTCATATTTTAAAGAGCTACCTCAAGTCAACTGTGAGAAATCCTGGAAGTCACATTACATCTTCCAGTGTTACAATGATACAGACAGGTGGGTATTGGATATGAGACGGTTGTCAAAATTGTGCCTGTAAGAATGAATGTTTTGGGGCTCAAAAGATGGCTCAGCAGTTAATAGCACTGATTGCTCTTCCAGAGAATCTGGGTTCAATTCCCAGCTCCCACACGGCAGCTCACAACTGTCTGTGACTCCAGTTTCAGGGGATCTAACATCCTCACACAGACATACATGCAGGCAAAATACCAATGCACATAAAATAAAAAGAAATAAATTATTTAAAATACCATATACATATAATAAATAAATAAATGAATAAATCTTTAAAAAAAATTTAAAATAGTAAGGCCATCTCTGAATGGTATTTTAGGTAATTATATAGCTGGTAGAAATGCAAAAAGTCAGGGTTGTGAAGAACATCTTGATAGGGTCTCAAAAAAAATTAAAAATATGACCCAGCAACTCTGCTCCTAGGTCATATCCAGGAGAAATGTTAACAAATGTTCACACAAAACAAGTTTGCATAAATGATCTGAACAACATTATTCATAATAGCCAAAGATTAGAAACTGCTTACCAAATGATGAATGGATAAACTAAATGTGCCATGGATCATTACATAGAAATTAAACAGAATTAAGTGCCAATCTGTGCTATAGCACAAAAGAAGCTAAGCACAGAGGGCTACATGTCGTTTCATTCCCCTTCCACAAAATGTCCACGGTAAGCAAGTCTCCATGGAGACAAGCCATTTATTAGTAGGATGGGAGAAGTGAAAAGTGGCTGCTAAAGGGTACAGTGTGTCTTCTTGGAACAATGACGATATTCTAAAGTTAGGAGTGGTAGTTGCACAAATCAGATTATATGCAGGAACCATTGCACTGGTGTACTTTAACTGGGTAAATTTTTGTGCTGCATAAATAAATCCCAAAGGTTTTATAAAATGCACCCAAGGGAATGAATTGGGGTTTGAGGCATTGATTTCAGTATCTGTATGTGTCTAATCTCATGCTTATCAATTCCTCCTAAACCCTGACATTCTATGCTGTCAATGTGCCCCATCATAGTCCAATTTAGATATATATTACATATACAGCCTTACACACTGAGCCAAAAAACAGCTGTGGGCTATTTAATTTTACTTTCCATTTTCCAGCTTACCATTGTTACATCAGTTTCATCACTTTAAGATTTTATTTTAAATCCAAGTGTGGTGGAGCATGCTTGAAGGGCCAGCAATCTGGGGGACTAGGACAAAGGATCATTTGAGCTGCAGAGTTCAAGGCCAGCCTAAGAAATATAGCAACATCCTGTTCATTAAAATTTTTTTTGGAATACAATGATTGCTTGGGGTAGTGTTGTAGACCAGAGATAGTCCTTAAAGAGGAGACTAAATTAAAAGGAGGTTACGGGGTGGGCCCTAGTCCAAGTTGAATAGTGTCCTTATCAAAAGAGGAGATTGTTGCACACAGAGAGATACCTGGGGCTCATACATACAGAAAGAGACAACAAAACATGTTCACTTGCAAGCCAAGGAGTAAGCCACCTGATATTTGGTTGTGGCAGCCCTGGCAAATGAATATAGCAAAGTCATCGCATTCAAACCTAAGGTTCTTTCATACTTGTTCTTATCAAGATCTACAGTATGCGTAATAGTGGGCGGTGCTGCAGCCCGAACTTTTAGAGTATCCGTTCCAATGGTTTCACCTTCCTGTCTTTTCACCAGGAGGAATGAATGCTTAACTACAGAACTGGATTCCTATTTAAGCCGACCTTCAGACCACCTCCACCCCCACGTACACTTTAGCCATGGCCCAGAAGGGAAGAAAATCCCAGAAGAGCCCTTTCCCCATGCAAATACACATTCTAGGCAGTGTCTTCCCCCAGGTAGATTTGTTCAAGGTCTTGACATAAGAATAAGCACTTGCTATTGGCTGAATAAACAAAAACTCAGTGCTATAAAATGACAGCAGGAAAATGCTTAGGTATCTGAATTTAACTTACTAAGTCCTGCTGATTGAAAATAGTATGACTTTGTAGATCATTGAATCCCAGAGGACTGTGTTAGAGGAACGGGCAGTTTAATTGAAATGAATATTTATTTATTTGGCAAAATAAAAAGATTTTAATTTGGGGCCCATCATTAGAAAAGGAGCAAGTCGGGTAGTGTCCCAGTCTGTTTTCATAGTTTACTTGGAAGGTTCTCACTGAGTGATGGTTTAGGAGACTCCATGGCTCACTAGTGTGGACTTTCTGATCTTACATTATTCCCCAGATGCAAACGGCTCACCTCCAGCAAGATTTTTCATAACTCAAGGTTTTGTGGAAGGAATTAGTGTCCATCAGAAACCACTCTGTCTACTAAACGGTATCCTGACTACAAAGCTTCTCTGACTATTGGTGAATCAATAATGACACGGCACAGCCGTTATCACCATGGCAACAGTACCCAGGACCTATCAGAGGAAAACTGCACATGGAACCACTGGCTGTCAAACAGCATGCCTCAGCTTCCTGTGGAGCACGCTTTTTCTACGAGTCTGGTGTGCTCTCAGGTACCACCACCAACCCAGTCTGGGTCCAACACTACAGATAAAACCTAATATTTAAAAGGGAATATAAATAGAGAAAAAAGGTACTGCTTTGGTGTGGCAAAGTCGTTTCTTGTTAGGGTACAAGTTGGTGATCTTACAACTGTTGAATAAGCTGTGTTGAGACTGAACAAACAAGTAACTCGATCATAAGTGTCAGCAGGTTTTCAACGCTGGAAGAAGAGATTTTAGATAAGCAAGGAGCTGGTGCTAGAGCGATTCATGCGCCAAAGAAACTCTAACAGAAATGCTCAGAAATATTTATATATGTGCATTGATGGGTGTATATAGTGTACACATATTAGTGTATATACACCCATCAATAGACATATAGACATACAGGTTAGCGTGTATATACACAGATTAGTGTACACACATCTTTGTTGTGTCTACTTTGATAGCTTAAGAGAAAGAAGCACATGGCTATCTTGGTGCCTAATACACTCATTTAAAATTTATTTTTATTTTTTAAATTACTTTTTATGTACTGATGTGTTGCCTGCATGTATGTCTGTGTACCATGGCTGTGCAGTGCCCATAGAGGCCAGAAGAGGGTGTTGTATGCCCTGGGGCTAGAGCTACAGACTGTCGTGAACTGCCACGTGGGTCTTAGGGACCAAATCAGGTCCTCTGGAAGAGCAGTAAGCATTCTTAACTGCTGGGCCATCACTCTAGCCCCCAAACAATACTTCTCATTAATGAATGTGCACACATCTGACTGTTGCAACTCTCTAATATTCCAGGACAGATTGTAGGTAATGGAATCAATCACTTGTGTCTTGAAAGATCAAGATTGAAACAACATTCAATATGATCAAACGAGGCTTGTCCTGGGCATGTTGCCCAACTGTTACTACTCAACCGTAGTATTAGAACTCAGGTCCTGTTCTTATTCATGGGTGAGACCTGTTTTCCACTGAGTCTCATATATTTGGTTTCACAAAATGCCACTAGTCATGCTCCTGAGATCAATCAAGTTTTAGAAATGCTACATGGGACAGACAGACCTCCAGGTCCTTCTACAAGCATCACTGATCTCCAGGAACACTGAAGATCAGAGTAGGCATCAGAACCTCAGAGCCCCAGGCAGAAACAGGGAATCAGCCCGCCAAGGAGAATGCTGGAGTGAATGGCTCCATCTAGTGGCCTCACTACTGTAGCACTCAGGATGATCATGAAAAAACTCAACAAAACAAAACCCTATAAATCAGGGCTTTCCTTGCTAAAGCTCTGTTTTAATGTATAATTGCCTCAAATTTAAATTGCCCATCTCCTGTTGTCAAGGTGGCAGTGAGTCCCACACTTGAAGAAGGGAACTGTTTATCAGGGCAGGTTGAGGGGCAAACTGTTGGAAAACATCAACCCAATAGACCAATTGGACCCCAAGTTATACCTACAGGGCTGAGGAAGTTAACAGTGCAGAAAATGGAGAGTAAGAAGGAGTTTTACTCCACGTATGCTAGTTTGGGGGTTCATAAACTTAGGAAAAATGTCAAAGAAATGTTTGTCAACTTGGTGGAAATAAAATGGGGAGTGGGGCTTAAAACCCTTCCAACCCTTGAGATTGGGCAACGATTAAGTGATTCACTTGTGCTATGGCTTGGATCTTACCTTTTCCCCAAAGCCCCATGTGTTAAAGGCTTAATCCCTAGAGTCCATGGTGGAACTTTGTAAAATCAAACCAGAAAAAAGATTTGTTTTTATGTGTCCGTGTGTATTCCAGCCTGAGTTTATGTGCGTATGTGTGCAGGTACCCACAGAAGCCAGAAGGCATCAGATCCCCCGGAACTGATGTGGTGGTGGTAACTAAATTCAGATCTGCAAGAGCAGTAAGCACTTTAAAAACAGTTTTTTTTTTTCAAGACAGGGTTTGTCTGTTTAGCCCTGACTGTCCTTGTAGACCAAGCTGGCCTCGAACTCATAGAGATCTGAATTTCTCTGCCTCCCACGTGTTGGAATTAAAGGTGTGCCATTGAAGGCGTGCACCACCAGGCCCAGCAGCAGCAGGAAGCACTTTTAAGCATTGAGCCACCTCTCCGGCCCCTATGGTGGAACTTTTAAGAAGTGAGACCTAGTGGGAGAGTTAAGTCACTGTGGGCATGCCACTGAAGGTGTTAGTGGGGCCCCGGGCCTTTCTTCTGTCCCCGTTTTGCTGCACTCTGCCACATGATTCTTCCACAGTGTGCTACCTCACCACACGTCCAAAGCAGCAGACCCAATTATCAGGGACTGCACAACCTCTAGAACTTAGGAGGAAAAAAAACCTTTTCTTTTTAAAGTTGATTGCCTCGGGTACTTGTTATAGTGCCAGAAAGATGAGCAACAGCACTTCAAAGAGCTCTAAGTGTACAGAAGACAAAGTTGACAGCTACGACCTACCTCAGCCAGGTGCTAAGTCATAGCGACTGATGTGATAGAATAAAAAGTAATTTACCACCTGGTGGTGGTGGTGGTGGCGGCGGCGGCGGCGGCGGCGGCGGCGGCGGCAGCGGCGGCGGCGCACGCCTTTAATCCCAGCACTAGGGAGGCAGAGCCAGGCAGATCTCTGTGAGTTTGAGGCCAGCCTGGTCTGCAGAGCAAGCTCCAGGACAGGCACCAAAACTACACAGAGGACCACCCCCTCCCCCCAAAAAAGTAATTTACCTCAGTGGTTTGCCTTGTGAAAGTCCATAACCCTAACTGCATCACGAAAAAATTATCAGATGAGACCCAAATTGAGGGACACTCACAAAATATTCAAATGCAGATTATGCTTGGTGGCAGGTGCCTTCATCCAATGAACCATCTTCCTGGCCCACTCATAATTTCTTAATTGTGAAGAAAATATGCCACATTAATGTAAGCCTAACAGTAGGGGAAAATGGGTGTAGGTGGATACAGGTATACTTTCCAACTTCTATGAAAATCTGAAACTATTTGAAAATCTAAAAAGCATGACATCTATAAATGCAATGTGGCATCTAGGTCGGATCTTAGAGCAGTAGAAAACTGGTAGAATCCAAATAAAATCTGACATTTACCTAATAATAATGTATTGCTGGTGTTTCTTACTTTTGATGAACGTACTCTGATAGTAAGAGACACACATTAACAGGAACTGGGTAGGGAGTATAAGAGAATGTTGTACTTTACTAATTACTATCATTATGATATGCGTGTATAATGAGTATGTGTGGTGAATGCACATGTGTGCAGGAGTGCACACCTCTGCAACTGTTCACAGACCAAAGGAATATGTCTGTTCTCCTGCCCTCCTCTCTGCCTATCCCTTGAGACACTTTCTCCCTGAAGCTGGAACTAGGCCGGCAGCCAGCCAGCCCCATTCATCTTCCTGTCCCTGCTCCCTCTAGAACTGGAGTTGTGGGCACATATGTGGCATGCTATGTCTTTTTACATGGGTGGCAGAATCTGGACTCAGGTTCTCATGCGTTAGCACCAAGAACTCATACTCACTAAGCCATCTCCCCAGTGCTATTATTCTATATTTTCATGATGCTGAAGATTATGGGGCTTCACACATACTAGCATACTAAGCATGTCTCTGAGGATTCTCTACTTTTTTTTGCAACATTTCTATAAATCTAAAGTGATTGTAAAATAAAAGAAAATAATATAGTGCAGGGTAGATGAATGTACCAAAAAATCTGCTTGGATGACTCTGGTAACCTGCACAAGGGGCACAAGGGCACTTGACTTAATTAGGACTCTGTGGAAAAGTCTTTCCTTTGACACATATCTTAATACTTAGTAGTGTCCCTGTTAGAACAGTGTGAATGTATTTCCTGTGCACATATTTATTGAAAAAAGTGGCTACGGTGAACCATGGAAACTAGATGACCTAAAACTAGAGAACAAAACAGAAAGGAACCAGCTTTCAGAAGTCATGGAAAGATGAGAACAACTGGAAGCTAATGCTATTGACCACTGAGTTAGCTCAAAGCAGATGGCCAAGATTCTTCAGGAAGCCAGTGGTTCCTCACAGCTGGAAAGAGGGAAGGGCCAGAGACTAAGGAAAATGTTGACAGCTTGGGTAATACTCCATTTTGTGTGCCTTAGCTATGTCTTATGCACAAACTCTTTGACCATAGTTTCCTTAGTGCTTTATATGAGATTAGCAAAGATCGGCTTGATAACCTAGTGTCCGCCATGATTTACTAAGGGATAGGGAAAGAAGGGGATAGATGTAGGCAACAGTCACAAGATAGTTCCAAGCTTCTTGTTTCTGCAGCCATCTTCTCTCCAGACAGAGAGCTCTTTTGGCATATGAATCTGCCTGTTTTTGTCTCAGCCCAGCAGTTTTCTATATGCACTAGGTACTTAATATACATTGTGTAGTTAATGAGCAAAATGGGAAGTCAGAAACTAATGCAACTGGCAAAATCTTTCTTTTGAAATTTTTCTATGAAGCCAGGTGTAGTGGTACATACCTGTAACCACTACACTGTAGAGATAGAGAAAAGAGGATCAGGGGTTCAAGGCCATCATTTACTACATAGTCTGAATCCAACGCAGGTGTGCTGGTTAGTGTTATATCAACTTGACACAAGCTAAAGTCATCTGAGAGGAGGGAACCTCAATTAAGAAAATGCCCCTATAACATTGGGTCTGTAGGGCATTTTCTTAATTAGTGATTCATGAGGGAGGGCCCAGCTCATTGTGGGTGGTGCCATCCCTGGGCTGGTAGTCCTGGGGTCTATAAGAAAGGCTGAGCAAGTCATGGGGAATAAGCCAGTAAGCAGCACCCCTTCATGGTCTCTATAACAGTTCCTGCCACCAGATTCCTACCCTGTTTAAGTTCCTGTCCTGACTTCCTTTGATGATGAACAGTGATGTGAAGTGTAAGCCAAGTAAACCTTTTCCTCCCCATTGCTTTTTTGTCATGCAGCAATAGAAACCCTAACGAAGACAGTAAGCTACAAAAAACTGTCTTGAAAGACCAAAAAGGCAGGTTGGAGAGATGGTTCAATATTTAAAGTGCTTGCAACACAAGCAAGAAGACTGGAG